CCGGCCCCAGGGCGGGGAGGGAGCTGCTCCGGCAGCCACCGACCCGCCTGCTTTGGTAATAACACTTGGGCTACGACTTCTGCCCAGTCACTGAAGAGGTAGCTAATGCTCAGTCCGTCGATTATACAATCTCAAAGGAAAAACGTCCGTCAGGAGGGCTGACTGTTTCCCCCTGCTTCGTTTTCAAAAATCAAGATTTAACGTGACTTTAGAATTCTCTCGACAGTTTCAGTTTGTATCGCATTTTGATTCTCCCTCCTCGCCTTTACTCCTCCCAATGACACCAGAACCAAAATCAGCCCCACAGAGTTAATTTTTTAGTTACTTCAACAGAAGTTCAGCAGCAGCTGTCTTAAATTTTGCCAAAAAACGGGGAGAAAAAAGACCAACACTTCAATTTTATCAGTTACTAACTTGCAAAATGTGTCTTCTAAAACAAAAATAAATTAAGGAAAGACTCATCCCTGATCTATACAGGAGGCTGTGCAGCTGCACCAAATGCTGCAGGAACACATGCTACACAAGCTACCACCACTCAGAAAAGTGGTGAGCCTAAACCTCTGGTAAACCTAAGAGTTCTAAGATCTTCTTCTATATTAAAAAAATAAATAAAATGCCAACATAAAAAAAAAATCCTATTATATTCAAGGAGTTATTAAAATATTTTTGTAATAGACTTCAGTTATTTTTAGGATATGCAGGAAGTTGTACAGCACATTAAGTTGTGAGACTATCCCACTTACCAGCAAATAGTATTCTACACATTAACACACAGATTATGATAACTGCCGTAGTCCTCGTCTGAATATGCAGCATCAGTAGCAACAACCAATGGATCTAGTCTTTCACTAATCGGAACATTGCAATGAAGACAACATTTTACATACATGGACAATTAAGTTCATCTTATTCTATAATCGAGCTGCCTCTGTATGTCCCATTTATAATTCTTCTCACTCCATTTTAATCTGTAATTCAGAGGAGAAGCATTAGCCAGATTTTTCTTTTCTAATGCCTCTTCTATACTCTTCACTTGTCTGTTCCATATAGGGACAAATCTTAGATGAACTCTACCGCCAGTGCACTTTGCACCATGCCATCAGCATATTGCCCTCTTAGATCCCCAGTGTTTCTGGAGTCACGCAGCCGTCTGCTGCATAAATCTTTCGGTCTGCACCCTTTTGCCAGGCCAAAAGCACAGACATTAGTAAGAAGTCACTTTTCATCCAACAGATGTGTCCACTTTCATTGAAGAAGCAGTCGTCTGCATTTCTTCTTTTTCCTATTTATTTCTGCCAGTCTCACCAAATGACCACAAGCAGCCTTTTAACTGAACAGCCAGCAGTCTCAGCCTTCTCAGACGTTGACATCACCACAGCACAGGGTGGATTGAAAACCTATATATCTTGACCAAATCATTTTTTTGTTTCTTAGGAAACCCCTTGTCTCTTCATAACAGCTTCACGTCACCCACGGCTACTTCAACAAGCTGTACTCTCCTTGCAGTAACATTACAGCTTCATGATTCCACGAAAAAAAACTTCCCAGATAGACAAAGCTTTCAATACTGTCCATTTCGCTGCCACTTTTTCTAGCATTTTTACAGTTTTATTCCTTTCTCTGGCAGAAGACCATTTTCTTTATCGTGTCCATATTCATATCTGGTTAGATTGTTCACTAGTCCCTTACAGCATGTTGACCTGGCTCTTATTCTCCATGACTATCTTCGTTTTGACATTAGCGCTATAACTTATTTCCATATAGTGAATAATATATTATCAAAATGTTTGAACAATACAGGAGATTCTGCCCAAAGACAGAATGCAAGTGTCAGATGCAACTGTCATGGTCAGTTTTAGCTCAAAACGATTCTGAAAGCAGGTTGCTTTAAGAGGAAAAACAGTTTTTCTTCCCATGCAAACCTATTTTCTGCCCCAGGAACCTGAACAGTAATTTTTAAAAGTTCCAAATAGTTAGATTTTAGGCCTAAATATATTTGCTACAACTTGAAAGATGTAATGCCCTGACTCCATTTCCATTGCTTACTTCATAGCTGTCCATGTAACAGTTCATGTAACAGTCAAGTACAGTAGTTTAAAAACTCAATTGCAAAAACTGATTCACAGAATCACCTTGCTTTTCTACTTCAAAGTATGTGGGTTTCTGAAAACATTCTGCAAGATTAACGCTTTTTATCATCCATCAGTGTAATGTCTGCATAAGGAAATCCTAGCTTCTACACAAACGTATCTGAAGATGAAGACCAACTTTTGATAATAATACAAAACATTTTTTTCTCTAACACACCTTTGGTCATACCTGTTTAGCATTTTTCACCGCACAATAGCAGCCTTTCACCCTCACCCCCTCATTCAAACACACAAACAGTACTACTTTTAGGTAGGAAGCATAATCTCAGCCTCATGGCAAACCTTGTGGAAAAGAGCTGCATTGGAAGAAATACTTATTCCAAATACAAACAGCAGTTCTCTACCGAGGATCAGCCATTTGATTATTAGTCTATGCTACACTTCAATGTAGTAAGAGTGCTGTTCTACTGGGAATGGTGTTCTTCAGATAAATTAGTTTCCTTCGGCCTGACTGGGATGCGGATAATTCCACGGCACTTTTGAGAAGCAATACGGTATAATCCCAGAATCCCAATTAACATGCCATTCCCGCTACATTTGATGTTTAAGGCCGTATACAAGAGGTATTGCTGAGTACAGTCAATAGCTGATATATTAACCTACGGAAATTGTGCTACCTATACCTCATCCTAGGCTCTGTAAAACACTAATGGCCATGAACTAAGCAGGTCACTTAAAAAACAAAGTATTCTTTGAATGTCCAAGAAATCAAAAAAAACTTTGTGTTGTTAATGTTCTTATGGCAGGTATTTTTGTTTCTTTCTTCAAGTTAGCTGACATGAGGCCCTTATTAGATATCAGGGAGAGATATACAAGAACTAGGGGGAAAAAAAAAAGACACAAAAAAGGAAAAGCATGGAGTTGTTATACATCGCAGCTTTTAAAACAGATTCTTTTCACAGTGTCAAAAAGCAGTATTTCTCCACTCCAGCTTTGTTCTAAAACCAACAACTGTTGTGGCTTATGTGATGCAAAATTTATGGAAGATGGATGATAATTTTTAGTTTTGAAGTGTTTAGCTTGTCTCAGTACATACACTGGTAAGTGCCCTTTAAAAATCCTAGGTATGACAGCATAAGAAATAGGTCATACTTGCACTCCAGGCACCGGCCTCTCACATTCCAGAGCTGTTCTCATTTTGAACAGTTCTATGCAATGATCAGCTAAGCCTGCCAAATCATTTAGGGTTTTATCTTTTCATAATGCATGTTGAGGTTAAAAACCCTGAGAGCTTTTGAGATAGCGTTGATTGGCAGCAGAAGTTTCTTGAAATAGTTTAGAAAGGGCAAAAAAAGTGACAAAAATACTTCAACTGTAAGGGTCTAGGGGTAAGATCAGAGAAAGACAATTTTAAGAGGTAACTTTAAATTTAACTATGTGGAGTGCTTTCAGTTATCCAGTGCTTTAAAAAAAAAAAATAATCGGGTTATCTCACAGATTTGTCCTCTTTGCTCTTTCCTCCATCTGCCCAGACACAGAGAGGCCTCTAACTGTACAGCAGATGGTTTACTTGCAGCCCACAGCAACAGTCTTTCAAAAGGTGTTAGTCTTGAGTCTCCTAATCAGAGAGAAATGAAACAATTAACCCCATAATCCACAGTAGAGACACAGACAGAAACCTGAAGGAAGATTGCTATTCACAGAAAATATCAAGTAAGACTAAGAACGGTGGCTGAAGACCTGCCAGGTTTTGCAATCCAACCCGCCATCCATCCATCCATCCATCCGTAGCCTTTCAGGGCATACCACTAGTTTAGGTAAGAGCCCAAACCAACTGTTTGCTCCTCTCAGTCACGATCCCTACAAAGGGCTGTTTTTAATTGCTTAATTGACGCAGGTACTATCATTTCTTAAACTGAGCACAGCCTGAGGCAGCTTCCCTGCATCCAGTACCTGGTTTGCATCAGCTTGCTGACAGACCTTACTGTCTGTGGCAGCGCTACATGTGAATGAATCGAAGTCCACTGTTATGTCTTGAACGTTTCTTTCATTGGCATTGTCAAAGCTATTTTTACCGTGTAGCTGTTTAAGGTGTTTCCTCAGAACGGGTTTATGCGCAAAAACCATGTCACAGTAGTTACACTTATGGGGCTTGTCCCCACTGTGCAGGTTGAGATGGTCCTGTAAGGAACACTTCTGAGAGAACGTTTTCCCACAGATCTTACATTGGAACGGTTTGATGCCTGCGTGCACTCTCATGTGCCGGTGGAGATTGCCTTTCTGAGTGAATGTCTTGCCACAGAGTAGACACATAAATAGTTTATGCATCTTTAAGTGATTAGCATAGTTTTCCAGATGCCGAAATACTCTTGTGCACTTTGGACACTGATGGTGCCATTGGAGGCCCTTGTCTATACCTCGGTTGTTAGGCCCAAACATATCTTTAGAGGCCAGAATGATGTTATCACTGCCAGCGTATGAAAGGGCATAGTTGTGGAGGTGGTTTTGCTCTATTTCACTTGCTCTGTTTTCAACAGTGGAATTGATAAGAAAGTGTTGAGGCTCTGAGGAATGCAGTGCAGTTTGTTCAGAAGAAATAAACTGGTTCTGATCCTTCTTATTCCTAACTTCTGTTACCTCCCCAATGGACTCCACCTTGATAATCTGAATATCACTATCCTCCATGTCCATACTGTCTTCTGAAGGTTGAATACAAGGTGAATCTTGCTGCAGAGAGTCGTCGTCTCCTTGGTGGTCCTTCAGCTCAGAGGAGTCACTTTGCTGTTCACACTCCTTGCTCTCCAACGGCTGCTTCGGTTTTATAAACTTCCAGAGGGCCTGCGTACATCGTTCAACAATGTGGCTCATCTGCAGAAAGCTTGCAGCAGTCAAGTAATTTACCAGTTCCATTTCAGGAAACTCCAGAATGCCACTGTAACAGGATAGAAGCAGCTGCCTCCCCACCTCCGAACTCTGCAGTATAGAGATTTTCACATCTCTGGAGTCATTTAATAAGAACTGATCTCTTAAAAAGGGAGAGCCAGCAGCAAATACAATTTTATGCCCATGAACTTCAACGTCATCTATATGGACCACGACATCACAAAATTTGTTTTCTTCCCTCAGTTTGTTCATTTTCTGTAACATTGAATCCCCATAATTGTCAAACTTGAAGTGAAGAATATCTGATCTTTCTGACATTTTGGCACACCTAAGGAAAAGCAGCAAGAAAAAAAACAAGTGAGAACTTTTTTGTTTTCTAAAATGCAAGTTAGAAGGGTCTAAAGTAATAATATAAAGTGTGTGTTTAATCAGATGTTATGTTTTATCCTAGATAAATACTAAAGTCTGTTACAAGTTAAAAGTCAAAAAAATCAAGTTTATACCTCGCCTTACAATATCTTTACCTTTTTTTAATTTAATGCAGCTTGAATATAAAGTAGAGGTGATATGACAGAAATTCTCCTGAAGCAGTATCCTAAAGAGTTAAAATGTTTTCCACACTACTTGTCTGGAATTTAAAGGGAAACCATGGAAGTATTTTTAGCAGCCTTAGATCTTGTTAAACTTCGCTTCCACATTAAAACTCCTCAGAGATTTTGTCTTTACCAAATAACAATGATATTCCTTTAGCTTTTGGTTCTTGATTTCCTTTAATGCCTAAATAGCTTTCATAACAAATGAATTCAAGGCGAGACAGAACCTGGCACCTGCCAGACATACAAACATCCCTCCTAACCTTCTGCATCTATCATCTACTGCTCACAAGAGTTACAGTCCAAGAACAGTGGCTACAGTTCCTCTAGGACACTCCACAATTTGCAGGAGTATTGACATAGGACACGTTGTCTCATTGGAAGTAATGTAATTTCGACAAGCCAGTCTTTTAGCAGGAAGGACTACGCAAGCTTTGCGATACCTGCAGCACGGGGTTTAACATATAGTTTTAGATTGCCTTTTAAGGTTTTTTGCAGGGGTTGGATCTTCCATAAAACAAGTATCAATCTTTTGTCTTTCAACAGTTCTTGTAAGAATTTATAAGACTACACTGATTCTTGATGAAACACGCAATCCTGCCAGAGAACTGGGATTGCAGGAAGTGAAGAAATCACAGAAGACTAAATGATGCAAGATTTGGTGAGATAAAGTAACAAGACAAAGCAAAACGTACACCTCGCAACTATTACAAACACCACATAAAGCTTGAAAGGAAGCTTTGAACTTTATAGATAAAAACAGATACTGCTCTCTCGGGACATGAAATATCAGCTCAGTGTACACAACAGGAATGGAGTCATGCCTAGTGTAAATGAATGAATACAAAAGACAAGGGTTCAGAGAAGAACGTTTTTAGAAGTATCTTGATAATCAGGGTTGTTTTAATTTGCTGATCAGGCATCATCCGGAGACGTGACCTCCTCACTACTCAAGCCCATCAAGTATATCTTTCAGTGTATGGCATGCGAAAATTAGAAAAGGATTTCAAAAGCCTTCAGAAACAGGGGACCACAGAAAGTTCAGAACAGGGGTAGCATCATTCTGCAGTACAACCAGTTCTGCTGAATCTACAGAAAGTAGAGCCGCCATGGTCTCTTAGTCATCCTGTCTTCAGTGCTGCCTGGCTCATCCCCATTTCTAGGGCAAAAAGTTTAATTTTATGCAGCAATAGTCTTTGGCAAATATAAACGGTAGCAACAGATCATTGTGAAGTATCTTCAATGAATTTCAGGCACTATCGAACTGTTTCTTTTGTGTTTTCTGTTAGAAGTGATGAAGGAAGTCTACTTGTGAGCCTGTTTTTTCCACCTTGGGATGCTATGCAGTTAAAGTGTGTGTGCCAAGGTAACACTATATTGTGCTGTTAATCAGACACAACTATTCCAGCCACTCAGTGTAACTCTCCCAGCCACTCAGTGTTCCTCAGGTGGATTACAAGAGTCACATCGTGATAAACTGAAAACAGAAAAGAAGTGACTTGCTTTGACACACGTTCAGTTTCCACTACTACTGATCTCCAAGGACAAAAAGCCACCAGATGAACCCCCAGCCCTCTTTCTAGGACCGAGCCTAACTCCTGGTCCGCCGCGACCCTCCAGGCTCTCGGCACAGCACCCCTCCTCTGGAAGCAGGGGCTTCCTCGGCGTCCACCGACCGGAGACGGGCACCGGCTCCTGCACACGTTCTTCCCGATAACCGGGAAAACGATGTTCCAGGGCAGCTCAGCCGAGAGCCCGCACAGCTCTTCAAAACAGCGCCCGAACGCGAAGTCCTCTGCAAAAGCCGAGAACGCGGCTGTCTGCGCCCGCACCGGCCC